TATAATTAAAAAATTAAAATTAGTCATAAATTTAAAAGTTGCGATAACTTTTTTTTTGGTCCAATACTTTTGACCGGAAAGTGTACATATATAGGTTTGATTTTATTTTCAGAATGCTCTGATCGTCCTTACATGTTATATAATTAAAGAAATGAATTATTAAAATTTGATTCATATGATATAATACGTATATTATACATTTTAGAGATGCATTCTATTATATAGTTCTCTTACTGTAAATTAATCTATAAAAAGTCAGATCTTGATCTTTTCATAATCTTTTACCTCAATGGTATATATCATTTGCAATATCAATGAAAACAACTCATTTTTCATAAATCTTACAGAATATTTAAAGCATTATTGATTTCACCATAACTGTTGTGTTTCTGTAATCAATTTCAAATTCACTTTTATATATCCATTCCTAATCTATTTTTTTAAGTATTTTCGTTTTAGAGATTTTTTCCGTAGTGACACATAAACTGTAGAATCATTTGCATGTCAAGTATCATTACGTTTAAAACTTTTTTGGATTTATATAAGAATTCCACGTGCTGTTGAAGTTTCATAACACAATGCGGATTAATTTTTTCAAATAAAGAAAAATACCAATAGTTGATTTAAACTTCAGAACATATTGATTAAAACACAAGAAATATATTTTCTTTTTAAACAGATGTCTGAGAATTCTTTATTTCTACAGTTTTGATATTATTTCAGAGATACAACTTTTAATAAGTGAATTGCCAAAATCACTCAATCAAAAATTCTATGAAATAGTTAATAGAATACAGTCAGTTCAAGAAACTTAGGAATTTGCAAAAACATTTTGAAGTAGTATTTCGACATTCATATTTTTTCAATTAAACATTAACGAAAATAATGAAATGCATAAATAAGGTTATAAGAAACAGGCGAATGAAATCTTAACCTGCACATTAGAAAATAGAATGAAGAAAATGAAAAAGGATGAGAAGGATGAGTCTAACTGATCAATTTTTTAACTGACTAATTGACTGATTATTTAATATAATTTAAAGTTTTTATTGAACCAAATATGATAATTTTTTTTAATTATTTATTTTAACATTAAAATTTCCTTGATCTTCTTGATTATTTGATATGCGGATTATTTTATTTTGAAAAAATATTTTAATATATAAAACTAAAATGGTTGTTAATTCACTAAGTAAAACATTGGTCAACCGAAAAGACAACTAATCAAGTATTAAAAGCGAAGAGAAAGAAAATTGACGTGGAAATTATTGTAAGCATTCTAAACGTACATGAAGGTGCATTTACTTGTGATATACCAAGTTCATTGCTTCTAATTACATTTAGAGATTTATGATAATGATCTGGACTTATCCCTACTAAGATCTGAATGGAGACAGCCCAATTGCAACAAAATGACTCGTCACTTGGTCTAGTCTGTAACTTTAGATAAGTGAAATTAGGTAAGCTGTTATATTTCAGAAAAAAACTGAATGATCTGTATAGTAAAGATGAACTGCGTCTATTTCATGGTTATAAATATGATTTTCCTGATGACGAAACAATTTAGGTTAATTCATACTCATAAAAAGGTTAACCTGTCAGACTGCAAGCCACATTTATCGCTTAATCTCATAAACTTTTGAAGCAAAATTCTTTATAAATGATTTATAAATTTATAACTCTTGCGGTACAGGATAATACATGATCACGAATATGCGTAAGCTTTAGCTGTGATAAATAAGCGAAGCAGCAATAAATTTCGAGGTAATTAACATAGATAAAAATCACGTAAGACAAATGAACTTAATATAATAGAAAGTATATAATAACTGGTTCGTAAAAACCAAGTATTGTATGTATGAAAAAATAAAAATGAAAAGCGTCTAAAATCTAAGTTTCAATATCCGGAAAAACTGACATCAATATCATCAAATTCATCGGTGAAAAAAAAAATAGAATAGGGCTTGATACGATAGTACTCACGCTCTCTGGTGAGCGTGAGTACCAAATGACTTGATACGATAGTACTCGCGCTCTCTTGTGAGCGTGAGTACCACGAAATCCAGCACCAACGATAATTGAATCATCCTATAAAATTTTTATAAATTAATAAATTTCTTAATTTAAATTATAAACAATATTTTCATTTATTTAAAACTTACATCGATGCTGGATTGATACGTTCTTGTAACGACCTTTTTGTTCAATTGAGAGTCGTTGTTTATCATCCTATAAAAAATATGTAATACATTTCTTAATTTAGATTCTAAAAAAAAAAAAAATAACTTATTTATTTAAAATTTTTTAACTTACATCGATACTAGATTGATAATTATTATCGTTATTATTTTTTCTTTTGCGACCCATTGTTTTATTTATTATTATAAAGTAAAAAAAATTCTTGGGAATTTATTCAAGAATGTGTGTATGTCTTTTTCTTGACAGTGTTTATATCTCATCTCAACGATGTCTAGCACGTGACTAAAATTGTATTTATCAATATATCACAATGATGCGTTATTGTTTTCAGCCACTTGAATGAAAAATGGTTTCTGATAAAAGAAAAAAAGATTCTGATTGATAACACATACAGATTCCGATAAAAAATTTTCTCGCTGATACGTTTCATATGTTAGCTGCATAAATAGTGATGTACAATTCGAAGCCTCTTGATAATAAAAGTAAATATGGTGAAATTAAATCACTTTGGTCGGGGAATTTGCAACCGTAATTTCCAAATTTTACATCTCATTTATTTTTTATTATTAATTGAATTAACGATCTTTTAAATATTGGCCGCAGCCATATTTATTAATTTGTAATTGTAATATCTTTCAATGAACTTCCTAAAGTATCTTGCTGTAGGGATGTTAAGCGGTTAAAGATAAACCGGTTTAAAACTGATTGTATAACCGAATTGATTCAGTCCATTTTTAAGATCAATGATATATAAATAAAATAAAATAAAATAAAATTACAAATAAAATTAATTACTAGGGAAACGGTAACCGTTACGAAGTCCGGAGCTTATAAAAAAATTATATTTCGATATATTTTAAGTTTTCGTTACAAAACTTTTTAAAAAATTTAAAAAACAAAAATGGAACATTATCAGTTTATGAGATGAACCAATCAAACTATCGACTCAGCTGATAAGCGGGCGGACAGCGGGACATTCATATATCAGTCACTGGTCATTTCCGGAATCAGGGGGGTCAAATGGATTTACTAATTAAATATGCAGCTTGTCGATCAC